GTCGTCAGTGTTGGTGAGGTTTGCTCATGAACCGGAAGACCTGTGGTTGCCACAGATTTCCGTTGTTCAGCACTGCTAGTTTTTTCTTCACTGCCAAGAGCATCTATGCTGTGCTAGCCGCTTCTCTCCTTCCGTACCAGTCACCGACGCATGGCCTGCTGGCTCGATCGTCGGCTTACCCGCGGGCGGAGCGGGGCGCGGTCGCGAGACGAGTGTCCCGCGCATCACGTGTACCAAAAGGTTTTCGCTGAGTTGAATAGTTTTGTTCAAGAGGGTCTCCTCCCCACATATGCTGAGACCCTAATGAACCCTAATGCAACGAACCATATGGCCGTGGGGGCTAGGCGCTGTGCCGCGCCATGGGCATGGCCGAGCGCGGCAGAGGGCGTGTGCAAAATCTGGCCATGGCTATGGCCGATCGCCGGCTATGGCCCGATGGCTCAATCATCGGCTTAGCCATGGCGGAGAGGTGTGGGCGCGGTCTCGCGACTCCCGGCTTGCCGGGCGTGGCCATGGCTGCAGCGCCTCCGAACCATATGGCTAGGCGCCGCGCCATGGCCGAGCGCGGCAGAGGGCGTGTGCAAAATCTGGCCATGGCTATGGCCGATCGCCGGCTATGGCCCGATGGCTCAATCATCGGCTTAGCCATGGCGGAGAGGTGTGGGCGTGGTCTCGCGACTCCCGGCTTGCCGGGCGTGGCCATGGCTGCAGCGCCTCCGAACCATATGGCTAGGCGCCGCGCCATGGCCGAGCGCGGCAGAGGGCGTGTGCAAAATCTGGCCATGGCTATGGCCGATCGCCGGCTATGGCCCGATGGCTCAATCATCGGCTTAGCCATGGCGGAGAGGTGTGGGCGTGGTCTCGCGACTCCCGGCTTGCCGGGCGTGGCCATGGCTGCAGCGCCTCCGAACCATATGGCTAGGCGCCGCGCCATGGCCGAGCGCGGCAGAGGGCGTGTGCAAAATCTGGCCATGGCTATGGCCGATCGCCGGCTATGGCCCGATGGCTCAATCATCGGCTTAGCCATGGCGGAGAGGTGTGGGCGTGGTCTCGCGACTCCCGGCTTGCCGGGCGTGGCCATGGCTGCAGCGCCTCCGAACCATATGGCTAGGCGCCGCGCCATGGCCGAGCGCGGCAGAGGGCGTGTGCAAAATCTGGCCATGGCTATGGCCGATCGCCGGCTATGGCCCGATGGCTCAATCATCGACTTAGCCATGGCGGAGAGG